CCCCCCCCTTCCGTGGCTCAGCTCCGGTTTTGGCGCCGTGCGGGCAGCCGAGCTGACCCAGTTGGCGGGCAGGGCGGGCTGGCGGGCGTCTTGCAGCAAGACGGCAACACGTGTCGCAGAGACGGCAGCTGGCGAGGCAGAGATGAGCAGCCCTCTGCGGGAGGCGCAGGTGGGGACGGGCGGGGGTCGGTTAGGCGAGCTGCTGCGCAAGCTGTCGCAGGCAGAGGCCGACAACCAGCGCATCGTCCAAGTCATGGAGTCGGAGCGCGCGGGCTTCCAGGACCGCCTCGACAGGCTGCGCTCGCAGAACGATGCCATCATCGGCAAGTCGCTCTCTGTCCAGGCCAAGCTCGCTGATGCTGCCGCGGCAAAGGACAAGCTAGCCCGGCTCGAGCATGAGCACAAAGCCATGGCAGAGGCCAAGGCCCGCGCAGAAGCCCGCGCGCTCGAGGATGCTGCCGCTCGCGCCAAGGCCGAGGCGCGGGCCCAGGCCGAGGCAGAAGCCAAGGCCCAGGCTGAGGCCGAAGCGCAGGCCAGGGCCGAGGCCGAAGCGCAGGCCCGAGCTGAGGCCGAAGCCAAGGCCCAGGCTGAGGCAGAAGCCAAGGCCCAGGCTGAGGCCGAAGCGCAGGCCAGGGCCGAGGCGCAGGCGTCGGCGCAGACACAGGCACTGACACAGGCGCACTGCAGCCCAGCTTCCTCGCTGCGTCACCGCGCCCCGCCGCATCGGACGCCTATGTCGCCGATCCGCCCGCCCGCGGTCGCGTCGGTGGAGGGCTCACCGGTGGTCCACACCCCGCCGATGCTGGCAGTGACCAAACCGGCCGCGGGCCAGACACCAGCCAACGACTCGCTTCTTCTCTCGCCCTCTGTCTCGCCACTGACGCCAGGCATGGCTCAGCGGCAGAGTGTTCCGCCCGAGGTCCAGGCGCAGGTCTCCGAGTCGCTGGCTGCATCGTCACTGCTGGCCGAGTACGAGCGGCTGCGCGCCATCCACGCCGGTACTACGCCGCCGCGCCCGAGCCCTGACAGCGCTCCGGCAGTCATCACTCCGGCACGTCGAGTCCAAGCGCTGCGTGCGCGGATCATGGAGGTCGAGCGCGCAGCAGAGGCCGCAGACGACGATCTCGCTCCACGCCGCGGTGCGGCGCTCAGCTTTGCCGATGATGACGACGATGATGAGGCTGAGACCGGCTACGTCTACGACGATGAGCTCGAACCGTACTCGGGCTACGACGATGAAGGCGACGCTTGCTACTCTGAGTTTACCTACGACGAAGCTGACGAGGGGAATGATTCGGAGACCTTGGCCATGGAGCGCGCGGCCGAAGCCATTTACCGCGCCTACTTTCGCGCCAAGCACCGGGTTCCTGACTCTCCGGCCTCGCCCGACCGGTCGAGGCGGCGACATCGCTCACGTGTCGAGTACCCGCGGTCGCCGTCGCGGTCACCGTCGCCGCCGCGGGCGTCACGCCTCTCCCACTCCCGCACCCACACCCACCACACGTCGCTGTATGCCGAGCCACCACAGACGCGAGTCTACTCGCTCTTTGATCTGGTCGACGAGCTGGAGGCGTCAGGCGTCGGATTTGCATCGCCGCCGCCGCCGCGCTCGCCGTCGCCGCCGCCACGCCCACCTCCGCCGCCTCGCCACCAGGCATCGCGGCGGCAGAATGCATCGCGGCGGCAGAATGCATCGCGGCGACACCGCAGCTCGCGGCGACACAACCGATCACTCTTCTCCGAGCCGTCTGTTCAGGCTGGAGAATACGAGCCGTCCGAAGCCGATTTGGATCTGCTGTCGATGATGGCGTCGCTGGCGGGTTCGCCTGGCAAGCGCAGCGCTCACAGCTCGCGCAGACACCGTCGGTGGTAGCAAACCAGCGGTTTATCCCCTCATCAAAAGATAGAGCTTGTTCCGCCAAAGGCGTCGGCCTTGGTCTTGTGGTCGGATGGCTGCGGGCGCGACTCGTAGGCGGTGATGACGACCTCGCGCGAGCCCACCAGCGCCGAGTGCTCACCGCCGAGGCCGATGTACTTGATGCGGGTCTGCTCGTCGTCGTCGCCGGAGCCGTTTGCGGTGATATAGAGAGTGAGCGAAGAGAGCGACGAGAACTTGGGCGGGTTGACCAGGTGTGGCATGACGCCCAGTGCGTCGGCCGCGAGGTCCAGCTCCTGCGTCGGCTCCAGGTCGTCGGCGTTGGAGAAGTCGATGACGGCGCGCGGGTTGGCAAAGAGCTTGACATGCGCCGGGAAGAACGCCGAGTCACCATCGCCCATGACCACCAGCGACTGAAGCTTGACGCTAGCCGTGAACGGGATGTGAATGATGAGCTGCGCATCGGCGTCCGAGACCAGCGGCGGATGCGAGCCGAAGCGCTCGGTGTAGGGCACAAAGACGCCAGCTGCCGCCCTCGGTCTCCTCGTTGAAGGCCACCACCGCTGCAGTGTCGATGACCTCGAAGAGCGACAAGCCCTCGCCCTGCTCCACGCAGTGTTCGCATCCTCCGCCGTGTCCCCCCGTGTCCATCGCAGCCGAGGTCAGAGACGAGTGCCGTCGCCGCGACCTGCGCTTCGTCGTAGGTCGGTCGGTCGGTCGGTCGGTCGTCATCGGTCGGTCGTCGTCGGTCGGTCGCCGCACGGCCAGTTTAGCCCGCCGCCCGTCGGCAGGCCCAGCCGGATGCGCCATGTGACCAAAGTGGCGTTTGCAGGTGCGTCGGCCGGGGAGTGGCACCTTTTGCAAAGGGAGTAGCAACGCCGCCTTGGAGGGCACCACCTGACCATGCACGGCTCGGGTACGGACCTCTCACCCCCCCCCCCCCCCCCCCTTTCCACCTCCTACCTCTCATCCTTCTCTGTTTACTTACCTCTGCTCGGCTCATCTTGGACTTGTCCTCCTCGCCGTCGTCGTCACCTCGTCGCCGACTAGGCGCCTCGAGGCCGCCGCCCAAGCGGTCCAAGGCTGCTCCTCCGCCTCTTTTGCCAAAGTCGGATCTTGTCCGCAAGCGATCGGTGGCCTTTGCCGCCGACTCGCTTGCTGCTGCTGATGCTGCTGCCGCCGCTGCTCCGCCCGTCGCCAAGCCCAAGCCCAAGCCCAAGCCCAAGCCCGAGCCCGAGCCTGAGCCCGAGCCCGAGCCTATGGCCAAGCCCGAGCCCGAGCCCGTACCCAAGAAGACACCACCGGCACCTGTACCCAAGAAGACACCACCAGCGCCCGTACCCAAGAAGACCCCACCGGCACCTGTACCCAAGCCCATGCCCAAGCCCGAGCCTGTGCCCAAGAAGACCCCACCGGCACCTGTACCCAAGAAGACACCACCAGCGCCCGTACCCAAGAAGACCCCACCTGCACCTGTACCCAAGAAGACACCACCAGCGCCCGTACCCAAGAAGACCCCACCGGCACCTGTACCCAAGCCCATGCCCAAGCCCGAGCCTGTGCCCAAGAAGACACCGCCGGCGCCCGTGCCCAAGCCGTCCGCTGCATCGCCAATCACGCAGCCCAAGCCGGCTCCCGTGCCCAAGCCCAAACCCAAGCCTGGCGCCGGACTGCTCAGCATCCCCGGCCAGCTAACAGGCGGTCCTCCAGCCCCGCCGCCGAAGCGGCGCAAGTCGGCCTCAGCCATCCAATCCATGCCGCTCCTCCCGGTTGTCGACACCACGGCTGTCCACACCCGCGCCAAGACGCCCGAGCCGGTCCGCTCGCGCCCGGTCGATGCTGCCAAGTCAATGGACGCCCTGCCGTCACTTGTTGACCACAACCCATCCGACGTCATCTCGGCGCCCGACATGGCCGAGCTTGCTAGCTCTTGGCGCCGGTCGCGTACCACCTACCAGGTTTGCCAGTGGCTCATCGCGGCTGGCTTTGACGCTGCCGCACACGCCTGTCAGGCCAATGAGGTCGACGGAGACGAGTTGGAGGATGCAGATCACGAATTCTTCGCCTCCATCGGAATCGACGACTCAGAGGCCACCGCCGCCATCATTGCTGCCATCCCATCGGCCACGCCGCACGGCTTGTCTCGTCCTGCCCGCGACCCTAGCGCCGGTGCCGAGCCTGACTCGGACACTGCCACAAAGGCCAAGCACGATATGCTGCTCTCCGACCTCGGCGCCGCAGACATGGCCGGCTATCTCGCCAAAGAGGGAAGCTCCAATAGCAAGTGGCGCCAGCGCTACTGCGTCCTCCAAGAGATGGTCCTCTACTACTTTAAGAACCTCTCGCCTGACAACAAGCCGCGCGGCTCCGTCATCGTCGCAGGCTGCACCGTTGGCAAGGTCGACCGGGATGGCTTTCTTCCTGGTACCACCTTTTACGTCGCACGCCGCAATCTCAATACCTATTGGCTCCTGGCAGAGACCGAGGCTGAGGTCGAGTTTTGGCTGAAGGCTCTTGTCGACCACGGCCTCTGCCGCCGCGTCGACGCCCCTCCCGAGAGCGGCATCCCCGATGCCCTCGCTGGCAAGCGCAAGTCGCGCTGGCAGACCCTCAAGCGTCGCTTCACTTCCAAGTCGACCTCCCTCGGTGACTCGGCCGCCGCAGCTCTTGCGACAGACGGTGATTCTGCCGCCCCGCCGCCGCCACCGCCGCCGCCGCCGTTCGGCGGCGCTCCGCCCCCGCCTCCACCGCCTCCGCCGCCCGGCGCCTCCATCCGCAAGGGCGGCAAGGCCAAGGCCAGGGCCACACCGGCTTCGGCTGGCTCTGGTGCGCTGCCGCCGCCGCCACCGCCGCCTCCAGCCGCCGCCGCCACGCCAGCCACCGCACGCACTCGCCCCACCGTTGGCGCTGGTCGTGGCTCGCTACTCTCATCCATCCAATCCCACCAGGGCGTGGCATCGCTCAAAAAGGTCGGCGCCCCCGAGCGCACCGACCTTGGCTCCACCTCCGCTCCCGCTGTGGCCTCACCGCCGCTCACCGGCATTGCCGCTGCGCTCGCGTCTGCCATGGGCGACCGCCGCAAGGTTGTTGTTGTCGACTCGGACGACGATGACTGGGACTCGGACTCGGACTGGTGACTTGCCTGCTAGCCCTCTCAGACATGCATCAGCACCGCCGCAGGCACATACTCGTGGACAGCCTTGAGCAGGGACTCGAGCTCGTCCTCGCTCGCCCCAGCAATGAAATGCATCAGCTGCTCGCTGCTGCTCCCGCCGCGCGCCAGGTCAGCTGCCTCATGCGCTGCAATGTACTCACGGAGCGCCGTCAGCTCATCACTCGACCGCACCTCGGCATACTTGCTCGTCATCACCACAAACTCTGAAATAGCCGGATCCACCTCCCCACCGTCGCCCAGCCGCTCTGCCATTGCACGCAGATAGGCCCGGAACACCACTCGTGCCGCCGCAGGCGTCAGCGGCACCGACGGGTCAAATGTCTCGACCCCGGCATCGCCAAACACAGCCTCCACCTCATCGTCGGCATACGGCACGCTCAGCGGAAGAGCATCGTACCCGGCTGCCGCTGCCGCCGCCGTGGGCACCGGATAAATGCACTTGAACCCGGTCTCTCCGGCCCGTGCCAGCTCCGCCCGAGCCGCGTCCACGGTCGAGCTCGCCTTGGGTACGGCCTCGCGGTAAGCAGGCGGCACCAGGCCGATAAGCGTAAAAATGTCTGCCACAAGTCGAGACTTGATGTCCAGATCCATAGGCGTTCCACACGAGACCGACGGAAACGAGTTGACCTCGAGGAGCCAAGGCTTGGCGTCGGCGTCGAGAATGACGTCAAAGCCAAAGAGCTCAAAGCACGGCAGGAATGGATGCCCGGCCACATGCGGCGCAATCGCTGGCTCCACTGCACTCAGCGCAGCCACAATGACTCGCTCGATGGCGGCAAAGATGGCTCCCACGTCAAACCCCATGGCCGCCAGCCGCACTCGCATTGCACGCACCGACCAGACCGATCCGACCCCATCGTCGGCTGCCGAAGCGTTCTTCACAAACTCCTTGTGCCGCTTGTTGAGTGAGACGTTGGTGAGGTGCGTCGCTGCAGAGTCCAGCGACTGAGCCGCAGACGTGTATGGGAGGTTGGCAAACCGTGCGAGGCCGTTTTCGTACAGAAACGCCCTCAGCGGCGCAAACGAGGTCACCACCACATACAGTCGGAGATCAAACTTGCGCCCGTCGACAAGGAGCGGGTTGTCCAAGTACGCCTGCACCACCGCCGGCTTGTCGAGCGCAGGCACCTTGGCTAGCGAGTCGAGCACCGCAATGCCGCGTCCGCACGCGCCCGACGATGGCTTGTAGATCCACAGCGGCGAGTCGCTCGCCCCAGACTCGATTGCCGCACGTAGCTCGTCGGCCTGCCGTGGCAGCGCAAACGTCTGCGGCATAAAGTCGAAGAGCGCGTCGCCAGCTTGCGCCCGTGCTGTTTCGTAGTTGAGCGTCAGCTCGGTCTTGCGAGTCAACTCGGACGAGAGCGGAAAGTGGTTGACCTTTTGGTACGGCTGCATCGCCACCAGCAGCGCCGGCCTGATGTGCCGCCCGACCCAGAACAGCGTCCAGCCACGGTGATCAGGGCCAGCGTCGACAAAGCCGTGCGCCGTGAGCGTTGTTCGAAGGAGGCCGACGAGACGTGCGCGAGTCGATATGTCGGCGCCGGTCGCGGCGCAAACGCAGCTTCAAGCGCCAAGTTGCGCTGCTTGGCCGAAACCTTGCGAACGGCCGAGAAGACCAGTGTCGGCGCTGGAGACGAGGCGCAAAAAGCAGTCGCGCCGAGCCCGAGTCAAGTCCGAGCGCTGCCGCCGACGCCGCTAGCGGCGCAAGCGGGACCGACATCGCCACCTTTGCGCGATCGGCAAGCAAGGTGCCTTCACCGCCGGCACCTCCCGCCATGTCCGCCATCGCCTCAAGCAGCGCATGCGCCGTGTGAATGTAGCCACCTGGATCGGCCGGCGGATGAGGCGCGCGGGGCAGACCTTTGCGTGGCAACGCATGTGCCGCAACCTTGACCGTGTACGCATGGACAGCCCGCGTGAGGTCATGGAAGGCGGGATGTGACAAGGTGGACGGCTCGCCGAGCGGGGTGAAAAGTGTTGACGACGGCGTTTCCGACCCGATGTTGACAAACGGCGAGGCGCGCGCGAAGAGGAGCGCAAACAGCGCGTTGCTGGTCTGATCGTACGCGTTCGGGAGCGCGTTACCGAGAATCCGGGTGTGCCGACGGGCCACGTTGGCCCGGAGCTCAAACACATACGCCACCGATCGGCGCTTGCCGAGCGCAGCAGCGAGCGCTCTCAGCGCGGCAGCGCCCGGTGTGCGGCTGGCGATGCCGTCGTCGCTGCGCGCGGCCAAGGCTTCCGCAACGTCCACGCCGTTGACAGTAGCGTCGTTGCAGCCACCCGCTACGCCGTCCGGGTTGACCATTGGCACAATGTTAAAGACAAAGCGCGAGCGGAGGAGTGTGGCCACCGCCGAGTCGGACGTGAGCGCGCGGATCAAGGCGTCGACCACATGTGACGCCGGTGAGTCAGATGCCACTACCCGCGCAAAGATGAGCACGACCTGACGAGTGGGAAAGATGGGCGGCCGCGGCGAGGTTCGGTCCGGGAACGCGCCGTCGACGTAGTCTTGCGCATCGAGGGCCGAGGACGGGAGGCGCGGCGCAGCGCGTGCCCGCACGACCTGCTTCGGGCGTCGCCGCTGGCGTCAGTTGTTGTACCACCGACAGTTGCTCCCGACCGTGAGTTGCCCGAGGTCTCCGAGTGCGGCGACGGCTTGGCGACGTCGGCGACTGGTGGGAGCGGCGGTGGCGCGGCCACATCTTGGGTGACGGTGAGTAGGTCGATGCGGCGGCCGAGCCGTGAGCGAGCGAGAAGCTCACGCGCGTAAAAGACGCGCGGCGCAAGCTTGCTGCTCCGCCCACGGCGCCGGCTGCCAAACTTGGCGTCCAGGCCACTCAGTGTGGACTGGAGCTCTGCATGCGAGTACGGCAGCCAGGCGGCGATGCGGACGCTAGCCAGCTCGTCAGCGGATGATCCGACAGCAGGCCGATGCGGGAGATCTGATGAGGCGTCGTCGGACGAGCCACCGACGTCCGGCCCCAGACGCGAGTTGGCCGGCGATGCCCTCGTCGCGCGGATCTTGAACCGCAGCTGGAGAGCGTTGGCGGAGGTCTTGAACTGGCAGGGGCCTTCGAGGCGGACCCAGGACCCATCGGCACCCCATGCTACCAGCGGACGAACATCCTTGGCGTAGATGCGCTTGAGCGCAAGAGGCAGGTTCATCAGCGTCAGCGTGTACGTCGTCTCTGGCGCCATGTCGGTGAGTCGGAAGTGGAACCAGCCGTCGTGGTCGGCGGCTTGAGCAGGTTCTCTGCCGACGGCATCCTCGCACTCGCTTCCACGAAGCCACAGACAGAAGGCATGTCTGCGCGCGGGTGCTGGCTCTACCCTTGCCAGGTTGCCCGTCTCAAAGTCTGCGTCAAACCGCACCATGGAGTTGGGCGGGGCGGGGAGGGGCGAGAGCGACGAGTGGCTGCGGTTGGTTGCGGTTGCGAGCGCTGACGAGTGGCATGTGGATGGGGATGGGGACCCAGGGAGAGCG